CCTACTCGGCCAACGAGGGATTGCCTAAGTAAGTAGGTATTATTATTTTTATTGTCATGTCAGGAGCGACTTGAGAAACACTTTTGCTTTCTGATGGTTCAGTGTATGCAGAGTTTGCTTCACGCACAAAATATAGCTTGAAGATAATATTATGTACCATATTTGTAAGTTTGGTGGGGACGAGAGACAGGGCCTTCTTGGTGGTGGCCCCTCGGCTGTGGAACACCCTCCCTAGGGGATATCAGACTGCCCCCCTCCCTTTTAACATTCCGGAAAAAAGTCAACATGTGACTTTTTGAGCAAGCGTTTACAAATGCAGAGTAACTGACATAGGAAAATGGAACGACTAGACCAGTGATGGGCAACCTTTTGAGCTTGGTGTGTCAAAATTTGCCAAAAACCTGAGCATAACTTGGGTGGAGCGTCACTTTGAGAAAAAACCCCATAATTTTTCAATATTTATAGTTTAAATAAGAAAAATGTATAATCAATGCTGAGTTATGGTGTGAACAATGCTCAAACGTGCAGATGTTAAATTTGTAGAGCCTTTTACAAATTTAAGGATGGAATTAGATTGGCTCATAAGGTGTATTTCTCTGTATGTGTCATCAAAAATAGCCAGGCGTGTCAGTGCTGACACACGTGTCATAGGTTCACCATCACGGGACTAGACGATGGGACCGGACAATGTTTTTAACAAGGAGACACTGTGGATTTATGTTCTATTGATTTTGTTATGTTTTTTATTATATGTTAATGTTTTTAATTGTATTTATGGTATTGTGGATATTGAATTTTTGTCCTGTAAACCGCCTTGTCACCTATGGGCTGAAAAAGGTGGTATACAGTAAATAAATAAATAAATATTTTAATACATGTATAAAATGACCTTCAGGCCATTCGTTGTTATGTTGTTTATTCATTCAGTCGCTTCCGACTCTTTGTGACCTCATGGACCAGCCCATGCCAGAGCTCCTTGTTGGCCATGGACACCCACAGCTCCTTCAAGGTCAAGTTGACCACTTCAAGGATACCATCCATCCATCTTGTCTTTGGTCGGCCCCTCTTCCTTTTTCTTTCCATTTTCCACAGCATCATTCTCTTCTCCAAGCTTTCCTGTCTTCTCATTATATGGCCAAAGTACTTCATCTTTGCCTCTAATATCCTTCCCTCTAGTGAGCAGCTGGGCTTTATTTCTTAAAATATGAACTGGTTTGATCTTCTTGTGGTCCAAGGCAGTTTCAGGCTATATGTGTAAGTATATATGTTGCAGCATCAATGAATTTTGCAATTAGACTTGTGTCCCATCGCCAAGATATCTCATTATGTATAGTCCAACATCAAAAAAAAATCTGAAACCCAAAACATTTCTATTCCCTAGCATTTTGGGTAAGGGATACTCAACTTCTACTACTTTTAGGACCACAAATCCTGAAGCCAGTATAATATAAGGTATTCCAAAATGCAAAATACTTCCAGTCCCAAGCATTTCAGAAAAGGAATGCTCAACCAACATATGATAGAAGAGTTGCACAATATTGTTCTTTATCTCCTCCTCTTTATCTCTGCTCCTTCAATGCGGGTTCTAACTTCCTGATAAATGCATTTGGCACAAACAATTATTTCAACACTTTGAAACAGCCAGCACAGCTACAAACTGTACAAACTGTCCAGCTGATTGTTACTTAAGGTACACAGCTGAAAACAGCTGATAACTGGCTGCTTTCTGTTTTATCCAGATACCTCTCTGAGCAGCTATTTTCGCTCTCTCTAACTGCTCTGCTCAAATCATCCCGTCTCCTGTCACAAACCTGATAATGCTTTTTTGAGTGTAGCAAATTGGTTTTTTCCTTTAACGGTTTGCATAGCTTAATAGTTAAGGCATTGTGAACATCGGCTATGTAAGTTTGATGAGATCAGACTATGGGTGCATCTACACTGTCAAATTAATGCAGTTTACCACCACTTTAACTGCCAGGACACAATGCTGTGGAATAATGAGAGTTGTAGTTTGGTGTGGCATCAGCACTTTTTGGCAGAGAAGGCTTTTTACTTGTCGTGTCAGAAGCAAATTGAGAAAAGTTATAATGTATAGCAAAACCACAAACAAAGTTTAAAAGACTAGGCATTATACTAAATTTCCTTTGACCAGAAGCTGCCCACTTAGAGTGCCTCTGGTGTTGCTATAAGAAGGTCCTCCATTGTGCATGTGGCAGGACTCAAACTGCATTGTAGTAAGTGGTCTTTTTCACATTCACATGTCGTGGACTCCACTTTGGAGCCCTATTTCTTAAGATTGGCTCTGCATCTCACGGTGCCAGAGCGCAGTCGGTTCAACGCCTTCCAAGTTGCCCAGCCTTCTGTGTGCCCAGGGGGGAGTTTCTCATCCGGTATCAGTCATTGATTGAGGTTCCAGGTTTTAACCTGCTACTTTTGGACTCTTGCTTGCTGAGGTATTCCTGCGAATATCTCTGTGGATCGTAGGAAGCTATTTCTTGATTTAGGGCGTTGGCATGCTGTCTGGTATCCAAACAGAGGATGGGTCTGAGATGTCAATGCCTTGGTCCTTTCATTACAGGCTGCTACTTCCTGACAGATGTCAGGTAGTGCAATATCGGCTAAAAAGTATAATTTCTCCAGTGGTGTAGGCCATAGACATCCTGTGATAATGCAGCATGTCTCATTAGGAGCCATATCCATTCTTTTAACGTAGTGAAATGTATTCCACACTAGCCATGCGTATTCAGCAGCAGAGTAGCAAAGAGCAAAGGCAGATGTCTTCACTGTCTGGTTGTGATCCCCAGTCAGCTTTCGTATGATATTATTTCTGGGACCCACTTTTTCTTGATATTCAAGCAATGCTTCTTCAAAGTCAGAGCACGATCCAGAGTAACTCCCAGATATTTTGGTGTGCACCAGTGCTCCAGTGGGATTCCTTCCCAAGCAACTTGCCGCAGGCAGAGAAGGCTAAAGACCTTATATAACCATAAGTCTCAGGAATCCATAGCATTGCATCAATGGTGGAGATGCCCCCTATGCTTGTACTCTTAATGACTAGGTATTGAATACGTACATTCACCATTTGAGGTGGAGCCAATAAGAAGATGGGATGTCATCAATACAGTATTTTGTTTCTTGGAAATGTAATAATCACTGCTTTATTGGAACAAAATATAGTTGATATGATGCTGTGAGCATCCTTTGAACATGAAAATAAACTGTGACTAATTTGAAAGGGAGTTTGTGTATGTTTGGATTAGTGCATCCAATAAGGCAGGCATCCTCAAACTTTTTAAACAGAGGGCCAGGTCACAGTCCCTCAAACTGTTGGAGGGCCAGATTATAATTTGGGGAAAAACATGAATTCCTATGCACACTGCACAAATCTTATTTGTAGTTCAAAAACACTTAAAAACAATACAATAATTAAAATGATGAACAATTTTAACAAATATAATCTTATTAGTGGGAGCCTCGGTGGCTCAGTGGGTTAAAGCGCTGAGCTTGTTGACCGAAAGGTCCCAGGTTCAATTCCGGGGAGCGGCGTGAGCTTCTGCTGTCAGCCCTAGCTTCTGCCAACCTAGCAGTTTGAAAACATGCAAATGTGAGTAGATCAATAGGTACCGCTCCGGCGGGAAGGTAACGGCACTCCATGCAGTCATGCTGGCCATATCACCTTGTCTATGGACAATGCCAGCTCTTCGGCTTAGAAATGGAGATGAGCACCACACCCCAGAGTCAGACATGACTGGACTTAATGTCAGGGGACAACCTTTATCTTTACCTTTAAGCTTATTAGTATTTCAGTGGGAAGTGTGGGTCTGCTTTTGGCTGATGAGATAGGATTGTTGTTGTTGTGGTGTGCTTTCAAGTCGTTTCAGACTTAGGTTGACCCTGAGCGAGGGCCGGGTAAATGACCTTGGAGGGCCGTATCTGGCCTTCAGGCTGTAGTTTGAGGACCCCTGCAATAAGGTGTCTGTAAAGGAAGATAGAGGAGCCCCCGGTGGCGCAGTGGGTTAAAGCACTGAGCTGATGAGCTTGTTGATTGAAAGGTCGCAGGTTCGATTCCAAGGAGAGGCGTGAGCTTCCGCTGTCAGCCCTAGCTTCTGAAACCTAGCAGTTCGAAAACATGCAAATGTGAGTAGATCAATAGGTACCGCTCCGGCGGGAAGGTGACGGCGCTCCATGCAGTCATGCTGGCCACATGACCTTGGAGGTATCTACGGACAACTCTGGCTCTTCGGCTTAGAAATGGAGATGAGCACCACACCCCAGAGTCAGACATGACTGGACTTAATGTCCGGGGACTACCTTTACCTTTTTAAAAGGAAGATAGCTAATGAAAGGAGTGTGAGAAGAAAAAAGAAACAGCCACAGTCTTCATCATAGGCAAACCCGACCTTAAGTGAGAGGCGATGCAGGGGATTGTGGGATTTTATTCAGCTGTGTGGAAGGGGCCATAGGCCCTTTCTACAGTGGCAAATAAAATCCAGATTATCTGCTTTGAACTGGATTATGTGGCAGTGCAGAAGGGGCCTTGGTGTTGCCTCTTTATTCTTGAACCAGGAGCCTTGAATGTTTTGCTCCTCCTGAAATATCCTCATATCAAAACAAACGGTGTGTGTGTGTGAAGAGGGTGGCGAAGTGACAGCTGCTGGGCTTATGCAGTGGTTGGCAAGGCGCCTTTCCACAGAAACTGAAAGGAAAGGGGCGGGGCGAAGAGAGCGAGCGCGAGAGAAGGGCTGGACCAATCAGAAGCCTTCCGGAGAGCCCAGGGGCGACGCCTGAGAGCCTACTTCCCTCCGTACGAAGGATGCCCCCAGTCACGTGAGGCCTCCCAAGGGCGTGGCTGCGGTTGCCCTCTCTCTCTCTCTCTCTATTCCCCCTCCTTTCCATTTTTGTCGTGAGTCGCGCGTGCGCGCTCGAGTCTGCAACAACGGCTGCGCGCGAGTGATAGAAACAAAACCAAAAAAAGAAAGAAAAGAGGGGGCGCGCGCGCGCGGGGTGTGTGCATATGTGCGCGTGCGCGGCTTGCTTTCCAGCCGGCGCGAGCGGCGCGCGTGCGCAATTGAGGGTCCCGAGCCTTTCTCGGCAACTCTAGTTTTCCTTTCCCTTTTTTTCTTTTTTTCCCCGTCTTTGAACCTCGAGCATCTCGTCGCTTCGGCCGTGGCTCTTTCTGGAGGCGGCAGCTCAAGGCCCGGATCGGGTGAGGAGGAGGTAAGAGGGAAAGGAAGCAAGGGAGAAGGGAGCCTCGCCTCGCCGTCGTCCCGCTGGCTCTGGGGAGGGATGCGAAGAAAGGGGTGGGGCGGGAGGGGGCAGCCGGGGAAAAGCCTCCCTCACGGGCCTCCCTCTTTCCTTCCTTCCCTCTCTCTCTCTGTGGTGGTCGGGAGCCTGGCTGCGTGGCGTGACCTTGGGCTTATGCCTGCCTCTCACTTCTGGGAGCCTTGAGCATCACCATCATAGTAATCACCCACCCCAATGACAGAGGCTCCTCGTGCTGCTGCATTACTGAACTGAAGAGTTTCTAATGGCTTCACATCTGGCGCACCTTTGGCCAAAGGAAAGCCTGTTTTGTTTAGGGTCTTGTTGTGTACAACCTGGCCCTTGACCGCTCCAGCTGGAGGTCAGCTGTGACCAGCAGTGCTGCAGAATTTGAGGAGGCACGAATGGAGGGCGAAAGGGAGAGGCGTGCCAAGAGGAAGGCGCGTCAAGCCAACCCCGGCAGAGACCGCCTTCCACCTGGAAACCAATGCCCTCACTGCGGAAGAAGATGCAGAGCAAGAATAGGGCTCCACAGCCACATACGGACCCACAAGAATATTGGAAGACAGTCATCCTCGGAAAGCAAGGGATCGCCTAAGTAAGTAAGTTTTGTACAGTATCTCTTAATCAGACCAGAATGTAGACTGCTATATCCCAGGCATGGGCAAACTTGGGCCCTCCTTCTAGGTGTTTTGGACTTCAACTCCCACCATTCCTAACAGCCTCTTAAGTGGCTTAGGGAGAAAAGGGGCTTGAGGCTGTTAGGAATGGGGAGTTGAAGTCAAAACACCTAGAAGGAGGGTCCAAGTTTGCCCATGCCTGGGATATAGCAATCTGAATCTACATTCTGAACTGATTAAGAGGTACTGTACACATAGAATCAAAGAGTTGGAAGAGACCTCATGGGCCATCCAGTCCAACCCCCTGCCAAGAAGCAGGAATATTGCATTCAAATCACCCCTGACAGATGGCCATCCGCCTCTGTTTAAAAGCTTCCAAAGAAGGAGCCTCCACCACACTCCGGGGCAGAGAGTTCCACTGCTGAACAGCTCTCACAGTCAGGAAGTTCTTCCTCATGTTCAGATGGAATCTCCTTTCTTGTGGTTTGAAGCCATTGTTCCATTGCGTCCTAGTCTCCAGGGCAGCAGAAAACAAGCTTGCTCCCTCCTCCCTGTGGCTTCCTCTCACATATTTATACATGGCTATCATATCTCCTCTCAGCAAGATACTAAACAAAACACGGCTTTCCTTTAGCAAAAGGTGCACCAGATGTGAAGGCATTTGAAACTTCTTCAGTCTAGAAATCCTTTGGAGTATGGTTTTAGGTATTCTTTGTACAGCAGACTCTCAGGCCCCTTCCACACAGCTGAATAAAATAATAATAATAATAATAATAATCTTTATTTATACCCTGTCACCATCTCCCCAGTGGGGACTCGGCGCGGCTAACATGAGGCCAAGCCCTTTAAAAATACAATACAGCACAGTAAAGTACAGAATACAAAAAACAAAATGCATCAGAAAATAAATTACAATAACAAAATGAAATAATAAAGCAAATTCACACAATATTAAATCGAACAGGATGGGTAGGCCAAACAGACAAGATAAAGTGATAAAACCCTGTGTGAGGTAGGAATAGGAGATATGTAAGTGAGGGGAGAAAATAAAACAGTGGGGTAAGGCTTTCAGTTTGGAATGGGGAAAAGTGCATCATAGGGGCAACACTATAGATGGGGCAACACAAATGGGATGGGTGGCCACTCTCCAAAGGCACATCGGAAAAGCCAGGTTGTCAGATTTTTCTTGAAGTCTGCTAAGGAGGGGGTTTGCCTAATCTCATCAGATAGTGAGTTCCAAGGACAGGGAGCCACAGCGGAGAAGGCTCTCTCTCTCATTCCCATTAGTCTTGCCTGTGATAGAGGAAGAGGCAAGAGGAGAGTGTCCCTGGTGGATCGGAGAGATCATGCAGGTTGGTGGTAGGAGATGCAGTCATGGAGGTAGGCGAGTCCCAAACCGGTTAGGTCTCACATTATTGGCTTTGAACTGGAATATATGGCAGTGTGGAGCCCCCAGTGGCACAGTGGGTTAAACCACTGAGCTTGTTGATCGAAAGGTCCCGCTGTTAGCTTCAGCTTCTGACAACCTAGCAGTTCAAAAACATGCTAGGTTGGCTAGAATAGGTACTGATTCTGTGGGAAGGTAACAGTGCTTCATGCCACATGACCTTGGAAGAGTCTACAGACAACACCGGCTCTTCGGCTTAGTGTTGGAGATGAGCACCAACCCCCAGAGTCGGACATGACTAGATTTCATGTCAGGGGAAAACCTTTACCTTACTGTGTGGCAGTGTGGACTCCAGTAACCCAGTTCAAAGCAGATATTGTGGGATTGCCTGCCTTGATATTCTGGGATATATGGTGCTATGGAAGGACTGTCAGTTAACTGGAACTCAAGCAGCCGGCACTCTCAAGCAAATGGCAACAAAATTCAAAGATATAATACTTTTAATTTTTTTATAATACATTAAAACAGGAACATTGAGTTCAATTTGTTTTTATTTCTCTTTTAATGACTATTTCAGTATTAATATCAAGTCAATACAGAATTTATGGTACAGTATCGGGTATAGGATTAATTAAGCCCATTTTAATAGTAACTCTCAAGCAACCTGAAGATACATTTACACAGCATCTACCAGTCCCCATGGGTGCCAGTTAACTGAGAGTACTGTTTCCATATATGTTCATCATGAGATAGCTTGGAAATGGGATCCAAGTCTAAACACAACATTTATTGATGTTTCATGTATACACACACATATATTCAATTAACTTAGAATCTACTGTATCTCCATATACATACATCATGAGATATCTTGGAGATGGGCTCCAAGTCTAAATACAGCTTTTATTAATGTTTCATACACACACCCACACACGGTTAACGGAGAGTACTGTATTTCCACATACATACATCATGAGATGTCTTGGTGAAAGGATCCAAGTCTAAACACAACATTCATTGATGTTTCATATACACACATATATGCAGTTAACAGAGAGTTTATTGTATTTTCATATACCATATGTACATCATGGGATATCTTGGAGATGGGATCCCAGTCTAAACACAACATTCATTAATGTTTCACACACACACACACACACACACACACAAACACTCTGATATATATGTGTGTGTGTACAGTTAACTGACAGTCTGCTGTCTTTCCATATACGTTCATCATGAGATCTCTTGGAGATGGCATCTAAGTCTAAACACAACATTCATTGATGTTTCACACACACACACACACATACAGTTAACTGAGAGTCTACTGTATTTCCATATACATACATCACAAGATAGCTTAGAGATGGCATCCAAATCTAAACACAGGATTAATTGATGTTTCATATATCCACATATATAGAATTAACTGAGAGTCTACTGTATCTCTATATATGTACATCATGAGATACCTTGGAGATAGGGTCCGATCCTAAATGCCACATTCATTGATGTTTCATATGCACATGGCCTAAAAGTCATTTTATGCACCATGTAAAGTTTGTATACATTGACGGATCAGAAAGCAGAGGTGTCGCTATCTCAGATGTCCATGTGCACAATCTAGGTTTTGGAGTGTTTCAGAAATCCAAATAAAGCATGCTTAACCTGTATATTGTTCCCAAATTATAGATGAATGTATCATGCTTAATCTGAAGTCACAGATTTGGTATTTGACCATAGGCAGGCTTGGTTTTCTGAGATTTCCCTTGAAATATGGGGATGAACAAGCAGTATTTCTTTGTTGGCTGTCTTCCGGCTGTAGTGCAGGACTAACACCTGCCCTGGCCCTTTGCAGGGCTGCCTGGTGAAACTCCTTGAAGCACCTGGGAAAAATGCAAAAGGCACTCCAAGAAGATTAAGTAAGCAAAAGAAGCAAGCATAAGGCTTGTGTCAAGTCAGTTGCAAAGAAACAGTACGCCTTTTGATGTTCTTGCCAATGTCTTCTGTAATTGGTAGTCACATAACCTGACTTTTCAGTACTTAGCTTTTCTCCTCCCTGTTAGTCAACACTGTGGTGTAGATAGTTTGGTCATTTGTTTACTGAGAGGCTCACTTCCTGCGAGATAGCAGGCATATTGTTTATTCTGCAAAGATATATTTGTTTGTCTGCTCATATACTGTGAATGCGTTTTGTTGTTGTTGATTCCGTACACATTTTCCTAGAAGCATAATCCCTTAAATTTCCATGGAGGTTGCTTCCAGAATCCAGGGTGTGACTTTGGTTATATGTTGGCATTTGCAAGCAATAGGATAGGTAGGCAACTCCCTTTTGGCTGCTTCAGAAGAGAATGGAATGTCTTGAGGTGAGACGATTGAGCAATGTGGACTTGTCAGCTGCATCCCTGTGTGCTCATTATAGTCTTTTGGTTTTGAACAAACCCTTCTATATTAATCATGTTGATCCAATAAAATCAAAGTAGGTAGCTGTAATTCTTCAGAAATGTTGGGTCTATAATTTTCATAAGTCCTGCTGGTTAGGGTTGTTGGAAATTCTATGTCAAAACCTACTCCTACAGTAAATAGAAACTGCATTATCTTTTTTAATTGTGTAGTTTAAGATACCATATACAGGTTGAGTATGTTGAACTCTGAAATCCTCCAAAATCATCTATGTGGGTGGCTGAAATAGTGAAACCTTTCTTTCTGATGATTCAGTGTAAGCAAACTTTGTTTCATGCACAACATTATTAAAAATTTGGTGCATTAAATGACCTTCAGGATTTTGTGTAAGGTGCATATAAAACATAAAAACATTTTTGGACTTGCATCACATCGTCAGTATATAGCATTATGTATATGCAAGTAATCCACATTTTTTTAAAAATTGAAAAACTGAAACAGAGAACACTTCTGGTAGATTGCTTAGTTATAAAAATCAC